GATAGTGCCGGCGATCTAAGGTTGCCCATGGTTACCCCACTGTATCGAAAATAGGTCGAAATCTCAGATTTGGTTGAAAACTTGCCTCTAGGGCTAATTTGAGCCCCAGAACACGAATATCACACTTGCTCGGCGTAAAAACGCTCGCCAAGGGAGTTGCAGGTCCTGCACACCCTGCCCCTCCAGAATGTGAACAAGACATTTTTATGAAAAATACCTGCAGTGATGATTTCCAGAGCACCAGACCACCTCTAATTCCAGATTTTAGCAAATTTGGGGGTTTTGGTGTGCCTCACATACATGCTGGAAATGGGTGTGACCTGGTCAAAATTCCTGCATATCTCTGCTCAAAGAATCGTTCAGCAGATATGGAAAGCAGATTTGAAATCAGCGTCCGAAGACGCATCAGTGAGTATACATCTTGTTTTAAAGGCAGTTACGATAATTGGGTGCTCGGCCTAAAATGCTAGTAGGGCGCTATATAGTGGGGAAATGGCGAAAGAACGGAGTGAAACGGTCAAAATCCTGCGAAAAAGAGCCTCCGTTCTCACTGTGTTAGTAATCAATTTTGGACGAGTTTCCCGAAGGCATCTTACCAATAACCGCTACCGAAGGTACGGCTGCATATGTGTACTCATATATCCATGCAGCATCACGCCGCTTCATACCAATGCCTTCGCTTCATAATTTGCTTAGCAAATGAATCAATTAGAGCGTCTGGAACAGTCGTCCATTTGTGGGCGGGCGGGCAAGGGGGCGTTTGGGACGTAAAGTTGTGGCTTGATAGCGCCCTTATAAGGGCACCTTCCCTGGAAAAGGCATTATGCAGCGCCTGCTCAGGGTCGCGGAATTCCGTCCTGCCAGGCGTATTAATCCTACTCGTCTTGGAGGATTTATCGTGCCAACTGCCTTTAAATGGCCACTTCGACCAGCCATCCATTCCTTGTGAGCTGCGTACGCCCCCCCCCCCGTATTTCTCATTTGTTCGATTTCATATATGAGGTACTTTCACTTTAAAGATTTCTATAGAATGAGTAACTGAAACCGAGTCGCTTTGTTAAGCGTTTGCGCCTTGCATTAGGTAAACCAAACTGAAATGACAAAATACCAACTTGTTCAGTGATTGGTCCAAGTCCTTTCAGTCTTCCGGCACGACACTGTTCCATGAAGTCGCGGACTAGAATTGCTAGCGGTACCTGTAGTGACACAATAGAAGCAACTGAGGCTAAAACAATAAGAAATTCTCATGCATTTCTCATTTGCTTTCACAATGGTTCTTTGGCTTTCAAAGGTCAGAATAAATATTAGGTTGCCCCGGAAGTTTCCCTGCCACGTATTTGATCGCTATTCAGGCCTTGATGGGAGTTTTTGACATATCGTGGGGAATGGATGAAGCAAGACAAGGACTCTTTCAAATCATACTCCCACTCACCCAGTTGAATTTGGGATTCAGAATGACCCAAGATTCATACCCGCAATGTGCTCCTGAGGCACTGTTTGATTCTTCATCAGTTGGCCTTAACGCAAGGAAGCCCAAGCATTATATGGATACATTGGCGGCTATCTCTTCACAGTGCAAGACCTGGATGGCCAGTCAAAGGGATTGTTTCTCAAGGATGCCAAGGTCCGGCCCGGCGATGATGGATTTAGACTTGAAGTTCTGTGCAATCACCGTGGAAGAGGATCCGTACGCCACTACCAGGGAACTTGCAGCGATGCTCGGCCATGCCCAATCAACTGTTGAATCTGGGCTGGAGAAGATTGGTAAAGTCGCAAAGCTTGGCCGTTGGATTCCTCACCAAATTCAATGGCGAGAAATTGACGTTAACCTAAATGATCTTTACGCAGAGATTTTCGAGGAATGGAATGTGGCAGCAGTAAAAAGAGAATTTCATGTAGCGAGTAAGTGGCAGGCATACGTCGAGTTATTCGCGAATGGGGACGGCTCGTTCGAATTGCATAAAAAAAAATAAGATAAAAATGTGTCGTTTCATCACCTGCACTGTCCGGAAACATAAAGCCCAGGTTGTATTGCAGGTATATATACCCCAGTCAAGAAGGCAATAGACAGCGATGGCAATGAACATCTCAGACGTTCTGGTTTCTGCTGTATTTGTAGTAGTTGACGGACTCGTTAGCTTGTCAGCATGCTCTGGATGTTTATCCATGTAAGAGACCAACAAGGTAGTGTGCTTTTCATACTGAAAATCTAACAGTAAACGCAATTAGAGGAAGCCATAAAGCAATTGAGAATACTCACCGAAGGCAAGTCACGAATAACGTTATCCACAAGAATCTGCAGCTCGGAGCGACCATAACCGTTCAACGGGTTAGATTTCTGTGCACTGGCCACGTCCAGAATCTGAATATGCTAATTTTTCTAAAACATTAGAAGATTGCAAGCTGGTTTGTCTACCTCTACCGTTTCCCAATCAACAAACTCATTAACATTTATTCTATCAAAACTAGCTTCCAGTAAATGGCTTAACTAGAGCTAAAGCAGAGTTCGCAAATGACGTTTGCAAGTAGAAGTGAAGCAATTACAATACTCTTTTGGGTTCAAATATGAATATCAAGATGCTGAGTATTTCAACAGCGAAAAAAAGAAGAAAACCAAGGAAAACGCTTTCATAAGAGTCTGCATGTCGCCTTTCTTGTAACCTGGGCATTTCTATTTACAAGTTCAATGTTTTCTTTTCTATGCAGTACAGGTTTGTATAGTGGAAGCGTTTACTGCCTGACGTTTCGACGGTTTCGTCGTTATCAAAGGCCTGAAAGCATATCGAAACTCATGAAAGCTATCTATCCTGTTCAACCTAAACCCGTTCTTACTAGTTGCAACTCAGACCAAGAGGCTACCAACGAAAGGGAACTCAAACCTCAGATTACTTCTCCACTCCCACCAGCGCCAACGAACTGCTCAAGTCGACACAATGGAGCAAATGAGACTGATTAAGCACTGCTATAAATGACAGTGGGCGCATAAGCAAAGCATCACAATCTCATTCTTAAA